TTTATTGTCATATTCACAATGTTTCAGTTGGACGCTTCGGCTTTTTTCAGGTGATATTTGTTGGAATTTCAAACTGAACCCTTTATTTAGTTCACATTTGCAGATTGTTTTAGTGCCATGTAACATGCCTTTTTACGATATCTCAGATCTTTCATCTAATTCCCTTTAGTAACTCAACTCTGCAAGTGAATAAAATTGTTGGTTGAAGTACCCCAAAAGTGACTTGACCCAAAATTTGTCAGTTCAATACCTGGCAACAGCAGAGGTGAAAAAAAAAACAAAAAAAACTTGGGGAGTTGAGTTACAATGTAAATTACTTGAAGAAAGCCTGAGCATACAATGGCTGAAACGTGAATATGATAACTGTCAACTGTCCAAAACAATGTAAATATATATATATATATATATATATATATATATATATATATATATATATATATATATATATATATATATATATATATATGAATTATATATTTATCAACCAATAAAACATGGTTTAAAAAGGTATTTAGGGGAATTTCTGCTCACTAGGGGATAGCTGCTCAGATTGAGGAATTGGAGAGCTGAGTTCAAATTCTAGTCAAATCCATTACATTCACTTACGGGCTAATACCCTTGGGAAAAGTATGAATCCTCCTTCTTATTCTCCCCCCATCTATGGTTAAATAGCAGGACAAACCAGATTCTATAGACTTGGATGGCAACTGGTCTACTGCAGAAAGAAAAGGAGGCATGGTAGAGTAATGGATAGCGGCTTGGATTGAGGAATCGCAGAGCCGAGTTCAAATTCCAGTCGAATCCATTACATTCACTTATGTGCTAATACCCTTGGGAAAGGTAAGAATCCTCTTCCTCTCTCTCCAGCTATGGGTAAAATAGCAGGACAGACTGGGTTCTATAGCCTTGGATGGCAATTAGGTCTAGGAGAAGGACAACTCTGAATTCAAAACCTGCGGAGGGTCGTTTGGGAACCTTGTGGCATTCGGTGCACCAGGTCTCTGCATTCGTCCCTTCAAAAAGTGTGGATGGTCCTGCACGAGGTCTTCACCATTATAATCAAATCTCATGTGCCGGTGTCGGGCTGTTGGTTTCCTGGAAACTGATCTGCTTGACCCTCATACGTCGAATCTCGACGGGATAGTCGATTATATATATATATATATATATATATATATAGATACATACATAGATAGATAGATAATATCAGTGGTAGATATACACATACATATGCAAAATATATAAATATCTATGCATACACATACATATATATTTTTTTGAATAAAAAAATTCCACGAGGATAGAATCCAGGTAGAACTCAATGTCCGGGACAGAGTAAGGATATAATAAAAAGGCTTTAACACTAATATTCCATGGTCATAATTCATTCCATTGGAATCGTAAATACGATCAATTCATCAGATCTATAAATTTGTCAGACCTACAAATTTGTCAGGAATATTTGTGCTTATGCCTTTTATTATATATATATATATATATATATATATATATATATATATATATATATATATATATATATGTATATATATATATAGTGAAGGTCATAAGTCCCTTGGTATATTAAAATTTATCCAAAAAAAGAGGTCGATGTATTTATTACTACTGAGCAAATAATTTATACACAATAAAATCCAAAATCACCTCATATGAGGAATAAGCTTATCTCAACTGACAAAATTTGTCAGTTTTATTCAACCCTAATTTAATGTCATAAGGGTAATGTCCAGGTTTAATTTTATAAAACATCTTTCCCTTTAAGACTAATATCTATCAGCTTCCACTGACCACTGTCTTGTACCTTTCGTCTGACTGAAACATTGAAATAGATAATTTCTTTATTAGTTTTTCGACATTTTTTTTTTGTAACTGGCACAGTTAAATTTCTAATTCCAACATGAACTCAGTCTATACTGGGGTTGAATAAGACTGAAGAATTTTGTGGGTTAAATTAAGCTTATTCCTCATATGAGGTGATTTTGGATTTTATTGTGTATTAATTACATTTTTTTTGCAAAATCTTTCAAATTTTGTAATTTGAATAAGTTGTTTTGGTTTATCACAATTTTGCCAAAATTCATATTAACTTTTATTTTATATGATTTTTTTCTGGAATACTTTCGAATGTTGCTCCATACATTTTCAAGAATTTTTAGAATTAAAAACCAATTGTATAACTACACATGGAACAATCCTTGAAAATGAATGGAGCAACATTCAAAAGTACTCAAGAAAAAAATAGTATAAAATAAAAGTTAATACGAATTTTGGCAAATTTACCAACAAAACAAAACTTATTGGGAAAATTGAAAGATTTAATAAGAATTTGATAAACAGATCTTTCCAATATATATATATATATATATATATATATATATATATAATAAAATAAAATAATAAAAGGCTCAAACACTAATATTCCATGATTATAATTTAATCGTGATTACAATTCCAATGTAATAAATTATAACCATGGAATATTAGTGTTTGAGTTTTTATACTATATTCTTACTCTGTCCTGGACATTGAGTTCTACCTGGATTCTATCCTCTTGGAATATATATATATATATATATATATATATATGTGTGTGTGCGTGTGTGTACTGACCACTAATATTATCAATATATAATGTATGCTGCACTGACATCAGTTGCTGAGGCATAACTCTTTGGGCACAGATCTAAGGTTTCTTGAGACCCATGAATGCCAAACTCACACACACACACACACACACACACACACACACACACACACACACATGTGTGTGTGTGTGTGTGTGTGTGTGTCTCATGCATGTGTGTGTGTGTGTGTGTATGTGTGTCTATGCATGCGTGTGTGTGTGTGTGTGTGTGTGTGTGTGTGTGTGTGTGTGTGTGAGTTTGGCATTCATACGTCTCAAGAAACCTTGGATCTGTTCCCAAAGAGTTATGCCTCAGCAACTGATGTCAGTGCAGCATCCATTATGTTTGTACAGGCCCACACAGGAGTGACTGTCTCGATTACAATGAATGCATGTGAAGACACTCTTCCCCCCGATGTTGCCTTGTTTTATTTCCATCAAGCAAGCACCTCCCTGGCAGAAAACCTTTGTTTCTCCTCTCTTCGCTCCAGCCCTTGGTGTAAATTATGTCTCCAGCATGAGCATTTGTGGCAATAACTTCCCACCTCTTGATGTCCATGTCCATCACCCTAATTGCAGATGTCCTTGAAGCAAAAAAGAGTTCGCCCTTGTATGCTCTTGCCAGTGGCCAGTTTCGTGTACAGAAGAACCTTTAGATGTATAAATCTGTGCTTTATTCTGCAGCTTAGCAGAGTTGCAGTATAAACAACAGATTTATCTGCATTTGTACTCACAGGTGGGCTCTGTGGGTGTTAAACAAATGCAAATGTGCCTGAGCAGGTGTCTGCAACAGGGATTGGCTAGCCAGCCTAGAAGACAAGCATTCTTGGGAATGAGTGGCTAACCATTATAAAGATTTTATTTGGTGTAAACATGTATTTGAGTAGATATCTATTTTTTCTTCTTAAATAAACAGAGTAATTGTTATCTATCAGCCTGAGTCTTCAGTAAAGAAAATATGTCTTTTGGCTGGGTTTAAACCTGCATATCATTTTTTATGAGAAACAACTGTATAGCCCAGCATGACTGGCAAGGTATTTCAATTAAATCTTTAAAGTATTTTTCTTTTATGTGAGCAAGAGATTTCTTTTTGTACTTAGTGAGTGACCCTACATCTTTCAGACCATAGCTCTATGTGTGCCCATTTAAAAATATGTCACACATATTAGGGAACTAGAATAAGAAGAAGCTTATAAATATCTAGGAATCAGTGAAAGAGGAGGAATACAGCATACCTAAATAAAACAGAAAATAAGAAAAATTACTGCAGGTATACCAACTTCGCTAAGTAACATACTCATACTAAGTCCACAAAAGAAATCCCTTGTTCCTATCCAAGAAAAATACAAAAAGAAATTATCAGCCCTTTTAATGAAACATATATTAGAAAAGGATTACTTAATGACTAAATTACAACAGAATGAAAAAAGGTTTTTCCTGATATGTTTCTTCCCCTAGGACTTCATCAGACAAAAGTGATGGTTGCATTGATATGACTACACATGCACACTAAGGAGAGGGGTCATGAGAATTTTAAATTTAAATTTTTTTTTTTTTCAAAACTTTACCACTTTGTCAGTTTTTTGCTAAATCAGCTCTTGATATATAAAAAAATTATATATAGTTTATCCATATATATAAATCAATAAGATCAATGATGAAAAGTATTTCATGCAAATATTTTTCAATAATCTCTTACTTTGTCAATGAACCTAGCACAACACTTCCCCACTAATCATATCGGTGGTAATTTCAGATTAAAAATTATCTAATAAATTTGTCAAGCAATAAACTATAAACTTTATTAGAGGATGTGGCCTAAGAATACATAACATTGTGAACTTCCACAGCTGCTATAATAATTTTTATTGCTAAAAATATTCCAGTCTCTCAAATATTGCATCCCAATGCAAGGTCATTTTACGAATTTAATAATGATATAAATAAGCATAGAAGGGAGTGGTAAGTGAAAAGGAATGCTTCACTCAATAATCATTAGCTTACATTAATAGATTTAGTTAGTTGAACTGAAAGAGTAAAGGTAAAAATAAACAACATGAGTTCATAAATAGAAAAATAGAAAAAGATGAGTTCATGAATGGAATGGGATGAAAAGACAAGAGAACTCCATGAATGGAATGGGAAGGAAAAACAAGAGCATTCTATGAATGGAATGGGATAAAAAAAAAACAAAAAAAACATGCACACTCCATGAATGGAATGGTATGAAAAGACAAGAGCTCTCCATGAATTGAATGGGCTGAAAACAAATGGACTACATGAATGGAATTGGATGAAAAGACAAGAACATAGCATGAATGGAATGGGATGAAAAATCACTAGTGCTTCATGAATGTCATCAGATGAAAAGACAAGATGTGTCCTTAAATGGAATGGCTTGAAAAGACAAGAGGAACTCATAAATGAATTGCAATGAAAAGACATGAATGGAATAGGATAAAAACATGTTGGCTACATGAATGGAATGGGGTGAAAAGACAAGGGCACTCCATGAATGGAATGCAATGAAAATATGTTGAATCCATGAATGGAATAGGAAGAAAAGACAAGGGCACTCCATTAATGGAATGGAATGAAGAGATAAGTGGTCGCTATGAATGGAATGGGGTGAAAAGAAAAAGTGCATTCTATGAAGGGAATGGGAGGAAAAGACATGAACACTCCATGAATAGAATGGGATGAAAAGACAAGAGGGCTCCCTGAATGGCATTGGATTAAAAAAGAAGAGGGATCCATGAATGAATTGTGATGTAAAAACTAGATGACCTCTTGAATAGAATGCAATGAAAAGACACAAGGACACCATGAATGAAATGGGATGAAGAGACAAGAGGACTCGATGAATGGAATATATGAACAGACAAGAAGTCCCCAGGAATGAAATGGAGGAAAAGACACAAGGACACCATGAATGAAATGGGATGAAGAGACAAGAGGACTCAATGAATGGAATATATGAACAGACAAGAAGTCCCCAGGAATGAAATGGAGGAAAAGACATGAGGATCCCATGAATGGAATGATATCAAAAGACATGAAAACTCCATGAATAAAATGGCATGAAAAGTCTAGAGGTCTCTATGAATGGAATGGGAAGGAAAAAATTGGTTTCTCCATCAATGCAATGTGATGAAATGACAAAAGTACTCCTCAATATCATGTTATGAAAAGACAAGTGGTGTGCATATTAAATTAGCAATACAACTATTATTATTAGTTAAGAGTATGCCATTTATTTAAACTGGTATTCAAATACTATATTTATGTATTTGTGCATAGGTTTATTAAACCACATATTTGCCATTTTGTTCCACAAATTTTTGCAAACTTGGAAGCAGCTTCATGATTCCATTCTCTCAATACTAAGCATCTTTCTAGGTGATGAATTAATCTCAGTGTTTTTTACAGGATCCCACAGAACTTACATTTGTTCCATTCAGGGAATGTTTTAGAGATCAAAATCAGTGGTAATGTAAATGTTTTAACTCTAGTTAGTACAGATTTAGATTAAGTGTGAACAAGGCAAGTAATACTTGAGCAATACTAAAAAGAACTAGATGAGTTATTAGAAAACTAACTGCAGCAGGTGATTAAATGATTGGAAAGAACCATAAATAAAGGCTTCAGTTTAAATTTCCTTACAGGCTGCCATGCTCAAATGATTCCTGAACATGAGGACACAATGGCTGAAATGTTATGATAATAACAAAGATGAAGACATTAGTCAGAAGGAAAATAATGATAATTCTTGATCTCAGAAATTCTTGCATTTTAAAGAAGGTAAACGTGCCATGAAAACAAAGAAAAAAGATTTGTTTCACTTATGGAGATGGCACTGTGAAGGATCAAATGTATTAAATGTGGTTTTGTGAAAATTTTCTCATTGAAGAGCACTCCATGAATGGAAGGGGAAGAAAAAATAAGAGCACTCTATGAAATGAATGTGAAGAAAAGTCAGGAAGGTTCCATGAATGATATGTGAAGAAAGTCAAGAGGGCTCCATGAAAGAAATGGGATGAAAAATCAAGAGGGCTCCATTAATGAAATGTGAAGTCAAGAGGGCTCCATGAATGGAATGTGAAGAAAATTCAAGAAGGCTCCATGAATGGAATGTGAAGAAAATTCAAGAGGGCTTAATGAATGAAATGTGAAGAAAGTCAAGAGGGCTCCATGAATGGAATGGGTAGAAAAGTCAAGAGGGCTCAAATGAATGGAATGTGAAGAAAATTCAAGACGGCTCCATGAATGGAATGGGAAGAAAGTCAAGAGGGCTCCATGAATGGAATGTGAAGAAAATTCAAGAGGGCTCCATGAATGGAATGTGAAGAAAATTCAAGAGGGCTCTATGAATGGAATGTAAAGAAAAGTCAAGAGGGCTCCATGAATGAAATGTGAAGAAAGTCAAGAGGGCTCCATGAATGAAATGTGAAGAAAGTCAAGAGGGCTCAAATGAATGGAATGTGAAGAAAAGTCAAGAGGGCTCCATGAATGGAATGTGAAGAAATGTCAAGAGTGCTCCATGAAGGAAATGTGAAAAAAATTCAAGAGGGCTCCATGAATGGAATGGGAAGAAAGTCAAGAGGGCTCCATGAATGGAATGGGAAGAAAATTCAAGAGGGCTCCATGAATGAAATGTGAAGAAAGTCAAGAGGGCTCAAATGAATGGAATGTGAAGAAAAGTCAAGAGGGCTCCATGAATGGAATGGGAAGAAATGTCAAGATGGCTCCATGAATGAAATGTGAAAAAAATTCAAGATGGCTCCATGAATGAAATGTGAAGAAAGTCAAGAGGGCTACATGAATGGAATGTGAAGAAAAGTCAAGTGGGCTCAATGAATGGAATGTGAAGAAAAGTCAAAAGGGCTTCATGAATGGAATTGGATGAAAAGACAAAGAAGCAATCGAGACAAGATAAGCAATCAAGACAATTTAACCAATCAAATCAAGACATACATAAAAATTAAACTCCTTTGCATGAGGTGGGAGAAAGACATCATATACAAAAACCCCAAAATCAAATCATGTTTTTGTTATGCCTAAAATCTTCCTCAGATTGCTATGCAGATGATACCACTATTTATGGATGCAACTTCAATATTCTTGGTAACCAGTCTGGCTGCAAATGTCTTCTTTATCCTTGCCGTGTGTGGTGAACATGGATGGTATCCTTCAATACCTCCCATACCAAGCTAGTTTTATCATCATAGAACAGATCCCGACTTTTCTCTAATAATGATGTGCAGTTGTGTTCTCAATGAGTCTCCTTGCCTTGAGCAGCCATTGGTACTCATGCTCATGCCAGACATCAAGTGGGACATGTATATATGAACCAATGCAAAATAATGTCTGAAAAATGGTCGGTTCCTCGTAGCACTCCCAGTAAATATCTGACTCCTGCCGTACTCTATCTTTGCAAGAGTTCGATCAAACTAAAAATAGATTATTGCTGCCACATTTTGGCTGGAGCTGCCCAATCCTCTCTTTCCACCTTTCAAAAGCTTTTGCTTGTGGGTGGACCGTTTCCCCACAGACAAAATATTGTTAGCCTGTCACTAGTTTATCCCTATTTTAATTTCTTGGTTCCACCAATCCAGAGCTTCACAGCTAGGACCCACCATGCTACATACACCCAGACGACTCATCCTCATTCCTTTCATATTTCATTGGTAAGGAGGAAATTTCACTTAGACACTTCCCCCTTCAGAACCGTTGCATTGTGGGACGAACTCCCAAGTGGATGCTCCCATTATCACTACAATCTTAATCTCTTCAAGTCTAATGTCAACCATTATCTATCCAATATATCATAGTAATATGCACTTCCCAGTATGACTTTACAAAATCCTCATTTAGTAAACCTCTTCATTGAGTGGCTCTTGGGCCTCGAATTGAATGAACAGTAGTAATAAAGAAAATTGAAAAAAGTTATACCATATTTTAGGCATATGGTAATGGTAATATTAGCTGTTTCCTTATAAGGAAGCCTTCATTGATCGTGTATTCTGTGCGCCTGCCGGACGTAATATATGAAATCTTCCACTTAAAACAATTTTTGGAGAAAATTAATTTCTCAGGTCAAGTAGCTGTTGTCATTTTATCTTGATGGGGGTTTTCTTCTTTACCTTTCATTCTAAGTAGTATGGAATGTCCACATCTTGTTTATATCATTATTCTCTCTCTGTTACAGGTAATATCTATTTTGGTTTTTGTTGCTGTTGAAAATCCTCAAGTGACGTATTTTCTGTTAACTGGTACAGTTCTTTGTGATTCCGTATTAGCCATGCACGAGTTTCGCTTGTTTCAACCCTTCATGCGCACTGCTGATGAGTCCCAAATATAGGACGAAACGGCCGTCCAGTGCTTTCTGCATTCTGTTGAGGTTTCTATCAGACTCGATGAATTAATTAAATATCATTATCAAATCCTCCTACTAATTGCTATCTGTGTTTATCATCGCTTGAACCGGCTTCTAATGCTCCAGTTGGTAGCGGCTTGGTGAGAGTAGTCGTGGCTCCCGGGGGCACAGTCCTATGGTTACAGAGAACTGAGTTGAGTTCCACCACGGAATATGTGAGCGAGCGGCGCTAAGTTGAGTCTGATTTGGAATCTCTTCGTCACCGAGGCCTATTTGGAACAGTTGGTATGATGTTCGCTTGACAACCTAACTGTCAGGGTTTCAATTCTCGGTAGTGGATGCGCACTGCTGATGAGTCCCAAATATAGGACGAAACGGTCGTCCAGTGCTTTCTGCATTCTGTTGAGGTTTCTATCAAACTCGATGAATTACTTAAATATAATTATCAAATCCTTCTACTAATTGCTATATATATATATATATATATATATATATATAATTTATTCGAAAATTATAACATAAATATGTTATAAAATCACTACAAAAATAGCCATTTTGTTTCAACACTTCTGGTGTCTTATCAAGTGATGGTGTGTATATTCATACATACCATCACTTGATAAGACATCAGAGTTGAAACAAATGGCTATGAAGTGTTGTATTTGCTCTACACTGTATTGAGCACTCTATTAAGAATAGTATTCTTTGGTTATTGGAATTTATTCCATATACTAATCCTATACTTGGGTATATATATATATATATATATATATATATGCATCCGTATATTGAAGGTCGTTCTCAACGGATTCTCCTCCAGTTCCTATCCCACGAATGCAGGTGTTCCGCAAGGCTCCATTCTTGGCCCCACTCTATTCCTTATTTTCATCAACGACCTTCCAGACGCCATAGATTCCCAAGTTGGCATCTACGTGGACAACACTACAATTTACTCCTGTCTCAGAAACAAATCTAGTGTCGCTGACAAAACTAACCTGGCCGCTCGTCTTGAAATTGACCACCAATCGGTTGTTAATTGGGAAAAGAATTGGCTGGCCAACTTTAACACCTCAAAAACTAAACTGCTCTCTATTAATCACCATAGAGATCCTCCCCTGTTCCCTATTAGAATGTCTGATAGACAATTTCTTGAGAGCAACTCTCTGCGTCTGCTCGATCTCACGTTGACTGCTGACCTGAGATGGAACAAATACATTGAGTCAATTGCTTCGTCCACCGCGGGGAAAGTTGGCTCTCTGTGCCGCGCCAGGAAATTTTTCTCGATACTTCAAATATATAAATCAACCATTCGCCCTTGCATGGAGTATTGCTGCCATATATGGTCTGGGGAACCTTCTGTTTACCTCGGAGTTCTTGACAAGATCCAGAGACGGATATGTAATGTAATTGGCCATGATCTGGCATCTCATCTACAGTCACTCTCTCACAGACGCGCCGTCGCCTCTCTCTGACTTTTTTACAAATACTTTCATAGTAATTGCTCTGATGAGCTGCTTTCACTGGTTCCCAGACTTCATGAATTCAAGCGCCCTACGAGGCTGGCATCCCCCTCTTACCCTTTCACTGTAGAAACTTTTAAATGTAGCCGTCTCTTCTACTCCAATAGCTTCATACTTCGCACCTCT